GAACAGGGCAATCTCTAGAACTTGAGTGAACTACTGCTTCTTTTATGCTACTGTGGTTTGTGTACTAGCTTCTCTAACACAATCATTGCAAGTACTTCGGTTGCACTTTAAATGGGTATGGTTTTCAGTGCTGAAAATCAAGGAAGATAGCTTGGAAAAATCATCCTCAAAATCTGCATGAGATTGTGTTGTTTTTGTTTTTGTTTTTTACCATTCATTATGTGTCTCTTCCATGCACCACTCCTCTTTCATCCTTAAGGAGTGAATTTCAATTGTTTCTCTGTTGAAGTAGGGAAGGTGTTTCAGTTTCACTTGAAGAAGTAAACAGATTAGATGAGGCTTTTTTTAAGAGAGAGCTCTGTTTATGCCAGGCACAACCAAAATACCTTTGCCTTACATGGAGTGACTCACGTTGTCACAATTATATCAATATGTCATGATGTATATTTTAATGTCTACATTATGTTTTGCTATATGTTTTATTATGTGTCTTGTGCTACTTATGTTTAATGACATTTTGAGTAATCATGGTGGTAAACCATAAGGAAACGAGGCAGCAGATAGATAGGCAAGTAAAGAAGATTAATGACTAAACACTAGCCACTAGATTTGCCAATCAAATTTGTAGCCAAACAAAACTCACCAAGCAGCCTTAATCCAGTCAGATTGTACCAAATAGTTTGTAGCATCCATTTGTTGGAAATATCCAAATAATTTTTGTCAGGACGATATCTCTGATAAAAGCAGATTTTATTCGCGATTGCAATGGTGGGCATCCTGCAAGCAGGAGCACACCTATGAACACAGCATGACAGCCTTTATATCCTGTTTTCCCCCGTTGCCTCCTCCCTCCCCTGCTTTCCTCCCCCCTCCCCTCCGTTTCCCCACTGGCCGGTACTCCAGGTTCACAGTCTTATCAGAAGGTTTACATTTGTTAATTTATTTGTTATCTGGTGTCAGTCCTGTAGTTTCCAAGACATCTCAACATTCTTCTTGTTCATGTTGATATGGTGATTTTGTTCAGAGTCCTTGTTAAACAAAGAATACGGAGGGGAGGTGCCCGATCTTCCTTAATACCTTCTTCAGGCACTCCCTGCGGCACGTAAGGAATTGTCCTTTTAATTTGCGCAGGATGCTCTTGCAATGTGTGTGACATATATCTTCAATGCTGGCTATACATAAGTTGTTACTAGCTTATATGTATATATGTATGGCTTATATACTAAGTATGTGCTGTTGGGGAAGATTTATCTAGGGGATTAGCAATGAAGACTTATCAGAGAACCCCAGTAAAGTAGAAAGGCCCCCTGAAAAGAACTATTAGTTTAATAAAGGACCCAAATGGTAGCAGAGGCCATGAAATTAACAAAATTCTTACTTTGTTCTGATGCAGAAACAGCATTCAATTCGCACACATTCAATAATGCTTATGCAGCTTTAAATGTATTGAGAAGACTTTTTGAAGACTTTTTGTGCTGGGCATGCATGTTAAATGGGGTGATCCGCTATGGATCCAGTGCCACAATAAAGAAGGCTTGCTCTTTAATACCACATTGGTCTTCAGGAGTTATCTTTCAGACTGGCATTTCTGTTCAGTAACAAAATGACTTTGAGTCCAGTTCATAAACCTCAAGGAATTTAGTGTCCTAGATCAGTTCCTATTAGAGAGCTATTAACATCAGTCTCTTGTGAGCACACACACCTCTTTTTCTTAGCCTTGTTTAACCCTGACTGGTGATTTTCATTAGTAGCTAATGACCAAATACAATGCAGCAGAGAAGGCTGCTGAAACATGCAGATAATCCCCATCTTTCCTTCCTTCTGTACTTGTAAACAGGTAGTGAGATTCCCTTTCCTGATTTCTTGATACAGATCACAGTGAAAAGGAGCTGAGGATGCATTTTTTGGGGAATTTAACTCACAAAATTAATGCTTTCTGCCAAGGTTCATATGAACAAGGTAGAATTCTTTTCAGATCAGGCCTAGCCAGCATGAATTCATGAAAGGCAGGTCCTGTTTGATCTACCTGTTCTTGACCCAACTGTTTATTGAAGGAAATGTTGTGGATGTAATTAATCTACCTAGACTTTAGCAAAACCTTTGACTGTCCAGTGAGCATCCTTTGCCCAGTGACTGGTGATGAATGGAGTTGAATCCAACTGACAGCTGATCACTGGTGATGTTCTTCCGAGGTCAGTACTGGGCCTGTCCTGTTTAATATCTTTATAGATAATCTGGGCTGTGCACCCTCAGTACATATTCAGATGACGTCAAGGTGGGAGGAAGTGATGACCTTCCTGAGGGTAGAAAGGCCCTGGATGTGGATAAGCTGGATCGATGGGCTGAGTCCAATTGTATGAGCTTTAACAAGGCCAAGTTCCAAGTCCTGCATTTCAGTCACAACAACTGCATGCATTGCTACAACTGCCTGAAAGGAGGTTGTGTTGAGGTGGGGGTCAGCCTCTTCTCCCAGGTAATTAGCAATAGGACAAGAAGTAATGCCCTTAAGTTAAGCCAAGGGAGGTTAAGGTTAGATAGCAGGAAAAAATTATTCTTGGAAAGAGTGGTGATGTAATGGAACAGATTGCCCAAGGAGGTGGTGGAGTCACCGTGCTTGGAGATTTTCAAGGAAAGGGTAGATGTGGCACTGAGGAACATTGTGTATAGTAGACACAAGTGTGGTTTGATGGTTGTACAAGGTGATGTCCATGGTCTTTTCCAACCTTTGTGATTCTAGGATTCTGTATCTCTTCTTATTATCAAATTCCCCGTTTGATAAAACAGAGGATAAACTAGATGTCATTCTCTTTTTCAGGAGAGTATCTCAAATACCTACTCTCACAAAGGAGAAATAATAGGGTCAAACCAAGTAGTGAGTAATATTTTGTGATGGGAAGCATACTGATAGGCTGGCACTCAAAGGGAGATAAAGATAAATGGATACTTATGGAATAACTTGCCACGGCCTACTGTAAGTGTTGAGAGAAGGTCCTCTGTTCACCACTAATCATCCATCTATCTGTTTCTCCACCAACACAAAGCTTTTACAAAGTCCTTTTCCTTTAAAATCAAGGATATATTTTTTTTTTTAAAAATGTGTGTTTTCCATACTTATGTGGTCTGAGATGCTGGGAAGGAAAGCATCTGGAACTATCTTGGAGGCCTCTGGAGAATAACTGTCTGGTGGAGTAATTTATACATTATTCTGTTTAATAGTAATTGTGGTGCCCATGAAGGAAAGGCTCCGAATTGCTAAGACATTTTTCCAATCCTGATGATCCAGATCATCAGAGGAAGAAGTTCATGTTTCCCAGCAAAGCTTATTAACCAAGACACAACTAATTCACAACACCCATGATATTGTTAGTAGTTTTCTCCTTGTTACAGTTCTCTGGGCATCCCCCTAGTGCTCTGACTTCACGTCTTCTGACACTGGCTAGTTCACATCTGTTAGCATCAGACATCCTCAGATAGCTTGGCCTCATCAGGATTTCCAATTCCTGACCTTTGTGCTTCCTTTTATCATCATCATCTTCACAGAATTAAAATGACAACCTGTGTCCAGGGAGATTTCTCTATGAAGCAGCAAAAGAAAAGAAGCTTGAGATGGCAGGAGTAGATAAATGAGAAGGAAACAGTGGAAGAGGGAAAACTCCACATTTTCCTGCAAATTGTAATACATAATATTCTACAGCTTGCATATGAGATGTAAGACACCCATTAGGCCGGACTGGAGGATCATTGTTGGGTTAAAAAGCATGTGTATGAAACCACTTTTGATGCCATTTATTTTCTCTTTGTATTTCTCTTAAAGCAGACGGTGGCACTAAGCTTGTTAATTTACTCATACTTCTCTATCAAATTCCTCTTTTAGATTCTTAAGCACTAGCTGTGCAAAAGGTGCTGTAACTTTGGTAGGAATATTTAAGAAGAAATGTTCCATAATAGGGGTAGTGATTTAAAAGACGAAAAAGTAGTTTCTGCCATCAAAATCTAAGTAGATGAAAAATGAATAAAGAACATGAAAAGAAATAAAAAAGCATTAATCCAAAGAATGCAGGTTGGACATAGGGAAAAGTGAATCAACAGTTTAAGAAGTTAGACATGAAGGTTAATTTTGAAGGATGCATTTGCTTTGTACCTGTATCAGTTAGATGCCTTTCTACACTATTCCCTATTTAGATCATTCAGCCAAACTAAGACTAAGTCTTAGAGAAAATGCCTGTAATTTTCCAGTTTCTGTCAAGTAAATAACAGCAGGAGAACATTTGTTTATATGATGGCATTCTGGTGCCAATCAGAACTTGGGATATGCTTTAAACTAAAGGGGACAGCTCATGTTATCTTTTTTGCTTAGGGTTCTTAAGGAGGACTGTTTGTTACTATCGGGGTAGCAAATGTTCTCATCCACAACCCCAGACAAAACTGTGCGTGGGATTTTAGGAACATTTACAGTATAAATCTTGGTATCTTGGGAAGTGAACGCCAACTTTTTGTACAAGTAGCTGTAGTATAAAAACCAGCACGCAAATTCCTTGGAATGACATTCTAGATAGAAACCACATTTTCACGCAGACTCTTTGCATTAACAAGTTGATGTAAAGGGTAATTAAAGTAATAATTTGATCATTTCTGGAGTAGATCCACATCCGTACAGCTTAAAACCCAGCTCAGTGCTTACAGTTGGCTGGCTCTAGGATTTTAAAGCCATGTAAGCTGGTAGGAAGCTTGAGGCCCAGAAAAGTGGTTGAAACATTGACCAGCTACACTTTCTTTGCCTCCTTTTGTTCAGAAATTCGGAACTTTCTCAACTCTGCAAAAGAGTTGTATAATTTTACTTCTATCCTTAAAAAGGTGGCATCTTCTTACCAGTGCCTTTGTGACTGTTATGGTATGATCTCTTTTGTTTACCCAGTGGGCAGTCACCTTTGTCAGTGTCCTGTCTGCAGAGGAAAAGACCCAATCTCCTCTTTTTTTTTTTGTCACCTGCTTTGCTACAGGTAACATCAGTTGCAAGGGGATGACAGAGCGCATTCATAGCATCAACCTTCACAACTTCAGCAATTCTGTGCTCGAGACCCTCAACGAGCAGCGCAACCGTGGCCACTTCTGTGACGTGACGGTCCGCATCCACGGGAGCATGCTACGCGCCCACCGCTGCGTGCTGGCGGCTGGCAGCCCCTTCTTCCAAGACAAGCTGCTGCTGGGCTACAGTGACATCGAGATTCCCTCAGTGGTGTCAGTCCAGTCTGTGCAAAAGCTCATTGACTTCATGTACAGTGGGGTGCTGCGGGTCTCGCAATCAGAGGCCCTCCAAATCCTCACAGCTGCCAGCATCCTGCAGATCAAGACTGTGATTGATGAGTGCACAAGGATTGTCTCGCAAAATGTTGGAGAGATCTACCCGGTGATTCAGGATTCTGGCCAGGAGACACCCAGAGGAACTCCCGAATCAGGCACCTCGGGGCAGAGCACCGACACAGAGTCTGGCTACCTGCAGAGCCACTCACAGCACAGTGTGGACAGGATCTACTCAGCCCTGTATGCCTGTTCCATGCAAAATGGCAGTGGGGAGCGCTCCTTCTATAGTGGGGCTGTGGTCAGCCACCATGAAACAGCCCTGGGTCTCCCTAGGGACCATCACATGGAAGACCCCAGCTGGATTACCAGGATCCATGAACGGTCACAGCAGATGGAGCGGTACCTCTCTACTACTCCAGAAACCACACATTGCCGCAAGCAACCACGCCCTGTCCGAATTCAAACCTTGATGGGCAACATCCATATTAAGCAGGAGATGGAGGATGACTATGACTACTATGGCCAACAGAGGGTGCAGATCCTTGAGCGCAATGAGTCTGAGGAATGCACTGAGGACACTGACCAAGCCGAAGGCACTGAGAGTGAACCCAAAGGGGAGAGTTTTGACTCGGGAGTCAGTTCCTCCATTGGTACTGAGCCTGATTCTGTGGAGCAGCAGTTTATGACTGGTCTGGGCAGGGATGGGCAGCAAGAACCTTCTCAAGCAGATCAAAATGATATCCCTGCTGATGGCAGTCAGCCTCCGCAGCAGCAGCAGCAGCATGTGGATGCCAACTCTTCCTCGCCAGAGAGAAGCAATGACGTTGAAATGGACAGCAAAGTGCTCACAGTCAATAACAGCACCGAAAAGGGGGCTTTGCAGCCTTCTGTCAACACAACTGTTGCCCAACCGTTGCCAACCACACAGATCTACTTACGCCAGACAGAATCCCTCACCAGCAATCTGAGGATGCCACTGACTCTGACCAGCAACACTCAGGTCATTGGCACAGCTGGCAACACGTACCTGCCTGCCCTTTTCACCACACAGTCTGCTGGCAGTGGCCCTAAGCCTTTTCTCTTCAGCCTGCCCCAGCCCATAGCTGGCCAACAGACACAGTTTGTGACAGTGTCCCAGCCTGGCCTGTCAACTTTCACTGCTCAACTGCCAGCCCCTCAGCCCTTAGCCCCATCTGCAGGCCACAGCACAGCAGGTGGGCAAGGCGAAAAAAAGCCTTACGAGTGCACTCTCTGTAACAAGACTTTCACCGCCAAACAGAACTACGTCAAGCACATGTTTGTACACACAGGTAAGAGTTTGTCCTATTGGCTTACACATGAAGCCAGGGAAAATCCTTTACAAACAAGGACTTAAGTTCTGTTTCCCAACCTGACAGCCCTCAGCACAAACAGAAGGGAGAGGCTACCCAGGGAGCTGGTATCACTGAACACTAAGCTGACTGCATTGAAGTTGAGCCCCTGTGGACACACCTAGGTCCCACACAGGGGTCTAACTGTACATGGTGCAGAAACAAGCTCTTTATGCTTGGAGTAAAAGGTGTCCTGCATCCATACAAGGAAATGGTAAGCACTTGTTTTCCTCTGCTAGCTGGCCAGGCAACACTTAAGTGGCATGACAAAATTATAATAGAGTCATCAAAAGAAGAATGCATCTACTGTGGAAAAGCTTCCCAGTGCTACAGTAGGGGTTTAGGTTCAAATGATGACTGGAATGACATTAGGGCATGTTCATTCCCGGTGGAGTTGCAGCACTAGGTCCAGGCCTGGGTGTTACACAGAATGCCACATATTTTCTAAATCTCACATACATTTGGAGTTTTTTAGGAAGTTTTTCTGTACTTCTGTACTACTTCTTAAATGTTTCACCAGCTAGGACTACAGAGACATGGGACTCAGAAAAAAAAAGAAAGTAATGAATGTAGAACACAGCAGCAGCACCCTTTTTCTTTAAAAAATGTTTTTAGTGTACGATCTTCTGAGGCAACGTAGGTGACTGCTTTTACTACTAATCCAAAACTACCTTTTCTGGCTTTGTTTAGTTATAAGATTTTAAATCAAGGATATTGTATCTGTCTACCTATCTGTTGGTCATGGAGAAGCTGTCCGGGGTTTAGGGCTAAATTTTGCTTTCTTTAGCCCTCATCTCATTTTGATTTTGGAAAGAAATTCCAGTTTAGAGAAAGAGTAAATATTTCTCTCACTAACCAGTCTTTTTGTTAACATCAAATCTTAAAGTAAATTTTGGGGTTGTGATATATAGAGTAGAACCTGGAGAAATTGCCTAAGGTATGGAAAGAATGTAAATCATGCCTCCCTACTGTATCAGATAAATTTCACTTCCATTGTAAGTAAACTTTTAACTACTATTTATGTATAAGCATCACTTAAATTAAAAAATCCTTTGGAAATCTAAGGCAGACATGTACACACACATATAATTTACAGGAAGGTTCACTTCTCATGACTGATAAAAAATGTATGGTTGCAAAGATCAAGAATCCCGAGTCCCAAAATTATCCTTTTGTGTTTGTTTATGTTCTCTATCTTTTTGCTATGGATAAGTGGCTAAAATACTATGTAGATAATGTTGTGTTTTTCAGGAAAATATCCCATTAAAAAGACAGTCACTTATATCTGCCTGCATCCTAGTTCTAAGAGCTAGAAAGGCTTTTTTTCTTTCTTTTTTTTTTTTTTTTTAACAAATAATTTCACTGAGATCAGGTGCTTTACCTTCCCCAGTCTCAACTATGCACTGCATGCAGTGTTTGGAGTCAGATAAGGGGTAACATTGAAAGATCTGTCTTAAAGTATTTCTAAGTACTAACACAGTCAACCAAGGTGACTAAGAAGCAATAGCACCTTGAGCAACAGAAGGCAGAGCTTCCAACAAAACACTCTGAAAATAAACTTCTTATGCACAGTCTTGAAGAAGGCTTGTCTGCTGCTTGCCCATGATATATGGCTCTTGTGAGGATCCAAGGAAAATGAGAAAGATTTGGGAGATGCAGGTGTTTGAATTTGTCTTGCTCTCAAGAGAATTCATGAGGTATCTACTCGTAAACCAGAATTCAACAACCCTTAGATCTCCCAATCCCAATTTTAAGGTTCCAAGACCAATATTCTGATGCAACTTTTCATGCAATGAAAGCCCTGTAATGTAGACACAAACCTACCCCCTTTTCTTCTTTCACATTGTGTTCCATGTGAACTGGCGTAAATGTATCCCATGATGTTCTTGGAAGTTAGTGTTCTGGAAACACAGTGGTAGAACATTTGCAGTGACCTGCACCTTATAAACCGTCATTGCCTTCTCCTGTATGCTACACATTAATATTGAATAACTTTCTCATGTTATTGGCTAAAAGCAGTCGAATATAAAGTAAAGAACCAAAAGGAAGAACATATGCACCTAATTGATGGAACGCCTGATTTCAAGAGGAAGAATCATGGGAACAAAGTTCCCAAATCTACAGTGGGAAAAGGCAACAAAGTGATTACTTAAGGAACACGTAAATTGGCATATAAAAAAGAAAATCTAAAAAGTTTTAAGATTTTTAGGAAAGAACTCCCAGGAAGGCTTTGAAGCTAAGATTAGAAAAAAGCCAGAACCCAGCATATCTTAGAAATATGTGCAGGCAAAAATGAGGGTGTTTTTATAGCATAAACTTAACAAGGTCTAGAGCAGAGGAGACTGACTTATTACAAACTCTGGGAGATATGTTGCCTAAGGCAAAAATGAGCACTGTAAATGTAATCAGTCTCTTGTAAATTAGCCTGACATGATTATAGCTGACACACTATCGTTTCCTACATAACACGTCAAGTATATTAGCCTGTCTATGCTCATCACACTACTGTGTTGAACAAAGCCAAGAAATTTAATTTTTTTATACAAAGTATCTTTGACCAAGTCAGGACAAAATCATCGTTGCTACGCAGACGTGGAGCTCATGGATTCTATCCGCAGATGTTGCCATCATACGTGCAAGCTGTGAAATAAAGAGAAACGAAAACTCAGAAGAGACAAGAAAAGTGGATCCTTCCCATCCAATCCATATGAATCATGCTCTCTGAAAACTGAATGTACCTCACTGCACAAAGAGTAAATAATATATTACCACGGGAATGCGATGGTCCCTGAAAATTGACTCTTCAAGATTTAAAGCAGTCCTAGGCAGACTGTAAAAGGGAGGAAGTAGGATGTGAAAGAAAAGGATCTCTGCTAGACAGGAAATTGCAGAATAGTCAAAGGAAAATTATTTTTCAGTCAGCAAAACAAAGGATGACTGTGACAGTTTCAGAGTTATGGGAATGTCTCTCTCCCTGATAGGCTTAGGGCTGATAATTTGCCACATCTGAAATATACATGACATTTAAAAAGATTTGAAAGCACCTTTTGATGCGACGTTTGGATATACAGCTATATATTTGTATTATGGAATACACAGTAATCCATATTTCAGATATTAAATTTGACCAGAAAAAGGGGCAGCAAATATAAACTCTCATAAAAAAGCTGGATTCCCTTGACAATCTTTAGCACTTATCTTCTTATAAATCTAAAGCAATTTGACAGAAAAGAGTGTATTACAGGTCAGCTGTCTGGTCAGTCATGTTTTTATTGCATACACGTAGGGAAATGGAGGCACTAAAAGGTAAAATAACCTGACCAAGACCTTCCTAGGAAGTGAAAGAGAACAGGACAGAAACGGTGTTCCCTCTCCTGCCTGGAGCAGCAGAGGCTGTGCCGTTGAAACTGAGCATAGATGCCAGAATCTTTTTATCTCCACTCCTGTCTTTGCAATTGTTTGTTCTAGGAGCTCACATGAGCTCCATTTTACAGTGTGTAAATTGGGAGTACCTATAGCCTCCATTGTAAAGCATCGTGAATCCTCTGATCAAACAAGGTTTTGTGTATCAAAGCATGGTTATTAACAGAATTAGTCTTTCTTAGAGCATCTCTCCAGAGACCCCTGTGGGGTTCACCTTTCATTTACTGCAAAGCATTGTAATTCTGTTACCTTTTTTTATTTTTATTTTTTTTCCTCGTCTAATTTTCGTTTTCTCTCTTTTTGGTAATGGGCAGGTGAGAAGCCTCACCAGTGCAGCATCTGTTGGCGCTCCTTCTCTCTAAAGGATTACCTAATCAAACACATGGTGACGCACACCGGCGTGAGGGCCTACCAGTGCAGCATCTGCAACAAGCGCTTCACCCAGAAGAGCTCCCTGAATGTGCACATGCGCCTGCACCGCGGGGAGAAGTCCTACGAGTGCTATATCTGCAAGAAGAAGTTCTCCCACAAGACCCTGCTGGAGAGGCATGTGGCTCTGCACAGTGCCACCAACGGCACGCCTGGAGCCACCGGCACCGGCGCGAGGGCCGTCCCCGCCGGGGTGGTGGCCTGCACAGAGGGGACCACATACGTCTGCTCTGTCTGTCCAGCTAAGTTTGACCAAATTGAGCATTTCAACGACCACATGAGGATGCATGTGTCAGACGGATAAGTAGAATCTCTCTCTCTCTTTGTTGTGAACAAAAAATAGAAACAGCAACAACAAAAAAAGCTATGGCACTAGAATTTAAGAAATGATTTTTGTTTCATTTTTACCTTTATTTTCCTCCTTTTTTTTGGGTTCGTTTCGTTTTGTTGTTTTTGTACTACATGAAGAACTGTTTTTTGCCTGCTGGTACATTACATTTCCGGAGGCTGGGTGAATAATAATTTTCCCAGCCTCCCTTGGATGGTGGCCTTAAGGCCAGGTAGTGCTTCACGAGCTCCACTGGTTGGATCTCTAACTACTGGCCTCTAAATACAACCCTTCTTTACTACAAAAAACAAACAAACAAACAAAAAAAATCATAAAAAATCAAAAAACAGACAGAAAAAATAAAAAAAAAAAAAAGATTTCTTTTTTCTCACTTGTGAAGAGCACTACAAAAAAAAAAAAGAAACAAAACAAAATATATTACAAAATCTACAAGGCCTACTGTCATTATAAGTACACCGCTCGCAGTGTTTCAATGGACATAATTCACAATGCTGACCGCTTTTGGACTTCACAGTATCCAGTTAGAACTGTGGAATATTTTACTTCTGGTTGAGCAGCAACCAGAGGAACCAAGGCCCTGCTGGTCTCCACCACGTGTCTGCTATCTCACTCACATGCACCCACAAACACACGAAAGGGCTGAGGGGAGTGCAAGGCAGTGTGGCTTGGATAGTGTGGAGTCCCTGCAGGATGAGGAAAAAGAATCAGAGGTTCCTCACCTGGATTCTGCTCCATCCCACGCTCTCTGGCTCACCCTCCCCGCTGCTTTTCCCATATCATCACCACCTTACAGCAGAAACCAAGAAGATTCAGACAACGAGCAACGGTGGCTTTTTGTAATTTATTCAGTGTCTTCGCTGAGCCCAGGGCCTCAGCACAATCAAGAGGGACTTTCACAGAAGGCAAAGAGAAACACAGAGGAAAATCAAAGATATCAGAGGTTGCAACCTATGGATCTAGGTACAAGAGAAGGGTTAGTTCCCACAATCTTTGCAAAAAAAAAAAAAAAAAAAAAAAAAAAAAGTTGCATCAGGATTTATTCTTGTGGAAGAAGGAGGAATAGAGGGGGGGCGGGGAGGGGAATAATTAAAAAAAAAAAAAAGAGTTATTGGGACTTTTTTTAATTCAAAATTTTATAGAGGGGCAAAAGTGACGTTTACCAGATAGAATGCTGATTTTTTTAATATATTTACAACAGTATTTGTGTAAAAAAAAAAAAACAAAAAGTGAGATTGTTAAAAGTAATTTTTTCTTTGTTTTCTTTTTTGTTTTGCGTACACTGCCACTAATATCTTCTCTTTTATTATATATATGAATATATATATGAATATATATTTTATTTTAAATTGAGACTGTTAAGGTTAGCTAACCTGCTTCCAGATAGAGGGGGGAGGGGAGATGATCTTGATTTTTATTTTAAAAAAGAGGAAGGATGTTTCCTGATTTCTTTTTCCGAGTATTATTTCTCTCTTTCTCTCTCTCTCTCTTTTCTAATGGAATCAAGAATTACCTGGGTCGATGAGGGGCTCTGTGAAGTCATCTGTGGGTTTATCTACTAGAGTTTGTGTGTCTTGCGGTATCGGTTATACTTTGTTTTTGAGTTATGTGGTTCTCTTTTGGCTCTTACCAAGGTTCTGTTGTTTCTGGTTTTGGTTCCATCTCAAAATTTATTTCCGCTGAAGGGAGATTCCTTTTGAGAAAGAGATTTTCTCTCAATGTTCCCTTGGTTTTGGGGATGATAGAATTTGTATTCTTTTTTTTTTTTTTCCTTGTCTTTCTTCATTTTTGCAAATGTCATGAAACTTTTGGAGGTGTATAATAACTAGGATTCCCCTTCTTTTTGGTCACTGGACGAGAATTAATACGCTGCATTGTTCTCTCATCCCTGCCTGAAGCTTGCTAGAGAGCTTCCATATTTGTATGGGAATCTGATCCTGCCCCTGGTAGTTTGTGCTGATGCCAAAATGACTTAAAACGTTACCATTGCATATGACCTTCCCTTCTTCATTTGCAAAAATATCTAACTTAAGGGCCACATCCCACATTCTCTGCATATGCAAAGCTATGCAAGGAATGTAGGATCACTGTGAAAGGTTGATTCCTGATCTGCATATATGTGTTGGTGTTTTGTATTTTGTTTTATTGTATCAGCTAGTGTTCTCCCTAGTCATCTTCTGTGCATCCGTGTGAGAATTTTCCCCCAAAGCCAACTCCCAAAGTACATGGGTCCTTAGTTCAGTTGGATCAGTGTCTGACACTGTCTTTGTCTTGCTTGAAATCCATAGCTAGGATTTGCACCAGCTGCACTCTGGACTTTATATTTTAGGCAGAGAAAAAGCACCTAACAAAAATATGCAAAAAGGAAAAAAGAAAAAAGAAAAACTGCTAGTTTAGCTTTTACTTGTGTCTATACTTAAATTAAGCTTTCTTAAGTTTACGAAGCTTGTGAACACTTAGCATTTCACACGAGACATTCTATTATGCTGGACAACTTTCTAAATACTGAATCAGTAGGACTACACATAAAATGTGTGTTCTTTACACCCACAGCTTCTGTACTCAGAACAAGTAAGCCCATTGCTGCCTTCTAGGCCTTTTCCATTTCTGATTTTTTATAGGGAAAAAAAATGACAGATACTTGAGTCTCAGAATCTTTCAGCAACCTGCAAGGTATTGTTCAGCAGATCCTAAGTGTCCAAGGCCTGATTCTCACTTGCACTAGACAACGTAAAGAGACTTTGAGATGAGTGCCAGAGCAAATTAACTTTCTATGTGGTAACGTCTTTTTTGTCGCCAGTTTATTTGGATAGTTGAAGGATTTTCAAAAAGTATCTACATTAGTTTGGCAAGTTAAAAATACATTGTTTTCATAACTGCAATGGTAAGATCAGTGCTGACCTGTAAAGCTAGAGGTGAAAAGACTAAGCCTAAGACAAAGACAGGAAGAACTAGTATCTGCTGTGTGAAGGCACACTAAGTCTGAAAATTCAGGTTGTAGAGACCAGGGTGGGTAAGAGAATAGAATAATGAGCCTAGACAAAATGAATTAAAGGTGTTTCCGTGGGGAAAGTAGATGGGTTGTTTTTGATTTCTTTCTTTTTTTTTTTTTTTTTTTTTTCCCTGAGATCTTTAGTATTGAAATGTATTGAAATGTTTCATGTTCTCCAGTTTGAAGAATGCATGAATTTTGCCCGGCTTAAAAATTTGTAGCTGTTCATTTGCCATCTGAGGTCTGGGGAAAAGCTGTTTAATTTGCCACTGTTCAATCTGGTCAACTATAGTCAAAATGTAGCATATTCTGAAATTTGGTTCTCATACCAGGAGAGATGCCCGTAAACAGGAAATAAGAATCAAGGTTTACATCCACCAAAATCCTAATAATGGTTTAGAGTCAGAAATCCTATACAAATCTTAATTCTTCAATTTTCAACCTTTCTTAAGTGAAAAAAAAAAAGCATCATCTTTGAAATGCAAATTTATTACAGGGCATAATCAATTTAAAGTGAATTAAATACCATTTACTAATGAATGAATGTTGCCAATTAAAAGTAAACTCTTTAAAGTAAAGCTAAGGCATATAAATTGAATTCTAAATCACTTGACAGAGAGCTTAGGCCAAGGTCTTCACAAACAGAAATATAAACAGATTTTGTCAAATGTCTAGGCTCAAAAAGTAGTGGCTAGATTTTGTAAAACATGGAGCAACTTGCAGCTTTCCTGCAAATGTTGCCGAAAATGCTCATCAGGTCACTTATGCATTTAAGCGCCCTTCTGTGAACTTAGGAGCTCAAACATAGATCCCTATGTCTTTTAAAATGTTAAATTATTTTTAGTAATGCTTCCTCCTAACCATGGGAAAATTTGTATACTATGTGGAAACAACTACAATAGCTGACTTTTGCAAGTATTATTCAGCTTCGTGTATTGCTAGGCCCAGCGATCTACAAACTGCTGTTTGAGTGCATCTGTCTCAGTATGCTCAAAAGGTTTCCTTCAAAACACCTAATAAAATTACATAGATGAGCAAGAGCGGACAGTAGCACACATCCCTATGATGTGTGAAGCACACAACATCCTGCATTCCTTGAACCTGATTCTCACTTTCTCTATAGCTCTTCTTATTTTGCTTCAAGCAATGGAAAACAGCATCAAATGAAGCACAAATTCAAAAGTAGAAATGAAGGCTTCTCTACACTTCAAAAATGGAAGGAAGCCTTAGGGTAAATGAGAGGGAAGTGCCTTCTCGTACTGCTGCTGAGGCTGATGAAGTCAATTGAAAATATAGGGACAACCGCAGATTCACCCTGTGGTCCACCTGTCTTGGTGTTCTGTCTCTAAGACCCATGTTGGATAATTGCAAAGTAGTAAGCTTTGTAAATAAAATAAGGGGAAAGATTTATTATAGTCCCTATCAGATATGTATCTGCTTATAACCTGAAGATGTAATGATTGATGGCCTTAACCTTTTATTCCTTACAAAAATTGTATATTGTGGCAAATAATTCTCATTATCCTATAAAGATCTAGCTT